AAGAGAGAGACATGATAATATACACTTGGAAGGTCCCGGAGGGATTGGTACCAAACCTGCATGTGAAAATCACTCCCTATGAAAGCAAAAGACATGGAAGAGATGTAACATTCCCCTGATGAAAAGCTGGGGGGGTCATGAGCACATTGAGAGACAACACAATAAGTGTCCTGGGCCCAAGACTGTTAAACTGCCTCCAAGCATACATAAGGGGGATTCTCAATAGACCCCTGGCTGTCTTCAAGAAGGCACTGGACAGGCATCTAAAGTCAGTACCTGACCAACCGGGCTGTGGTTCGTACGTCAGTTTGAGTGCGGCCAGCAGTAACAGCCTGGTTGATCAGACCCTGATCCACCATGAGGCCCAGTCTCGGACCAAGCCGCGGGGGCATTGATCCCTGAAACCCTCTCCAGGTAAACTCCAGGTACAGTATCCCAATATACAATTTGTATCTTCAGTGTAATTGTGTAATTCTACTAGAGTATCCCATAAATTCCCCATAAAATACATTTTCAGCTACAGTGGTCTGAAGAACCATAAAACTAATGTGCAGTTCCATTATTAAAGGAACTAAGTTATTAGTTGCAACTTATTATATTCATGTAAAGTGCTAAACTCATAAACATCAAACAGTGAGTGCTACACAGCAGAAGTGAGAGACTGTAGAGGGAGGTGTTGAGGTAAGGACATCAAAAGCATTACATTTATGGGTAAGCTATAAAAACACAGGGATCACATAGCAACTAATGAATGAGAAGACAGTAACAGAATGGGAGAGAGGAGGGGGAGGGGTAACAATCATTGAAGCAAGAATAGTTGTAAAGATTTTTTTTTTTTTAACAAGTTGGCTGTCTCCCACCAAGGTAGGGAGACCCAAAAAGAAAGAAAATCCCCCAAAACAAAATACTTTCATCATCATTCAACACTTTCACCTCACTCATACATAATCACTGTCTTTGCAGAGGCGTTCAGATACAACAGTTTAGAAGTTCCTCCAAAGTGTCAGTATCCCAGACCCCTCCTTTAAAGTGCAGGCATTGTACTTCCCATTTCCATGACTCAAGTCCGGCTAAATCTATAATAACCGGTTTCCCTCAATCCCTTCACTAAATATTACCCTGCTCACACTCCAACAGCTCATCAAGCCCTAAAAACCATTCGTCTCCATTTACTCCTATCTAACATGCTCACACACGTTTGCTGGAAGTCCAAGCCCCTTGCCCACAAAACCTCCTTTACCCCTCCCTCCAACCTTTTTGAGGACGACCCTACAAATTTATATGCTCTACAAGTCATTCTACTTTGATCCATTCTCTCTAAATGACCAAACCACCTCAACAACTCCTCTTCAGCCCTCTGACTAATACTTTCAGTAACTCCACACCTGCTCCTAATTTCCACACTCCGAATTCTCTGCATAATACTTACACCACATACTGCCCTAAGACAGGACATCTCCACTGCCTCCTACTGCCTCCTCGCTGCATCATTTACAACCCAAGCTTCACACCCATATGAGAGTGTTGGTACCACTATACTTTCATACATTCCCTTCTTTGCCTCTATAGATAATGTTTTTTTTTTTGTCTCCACAGATACCTCAACACACCATTCACCCTTTTTCCTTCATCAATTCTATGGTTAACCTTATCCACTGACAAGTCAACTCCCAAATATCTGAAAACATTCACTTCTTCCATACACCCTCTCTCCAATGTGATATCTAATTTTTCTTTATCTAAATCATTTGACACCCTCATCACCTTACTCTTATCTATGTTCACTTTCAGCTTTCTACCTTTACACACCCTCCCAAACTTGTCTACTAACCTTTGCAACTTCCCTTTGGAATCTTCCATAAGCACAGTATCATCAGGAAAAAGTAACTGTGTCAACTCCCATTTTGTATTTGATTCCCCATAATTTAATCCCACCCCTCTCCCTAACACCCTAGAATTTACTTCTATTACAACCCCATCTATAAATATATTAAACAACCATGGTGACATTACACATCCCTGTCTAAGACCTACTTTTACCGGGAAGTATTCTCCCTCTCTCCTACACACCCTAACCTGAGCCTCACTATACTCAAAAACTCTTTACAGCATTTATTAACTTACTACCTATTCCATATACTTGCAACATCTGCCACATTACTCCCCTATCCACTATCATATGCCTTTTCTAAATCCATAAATGCAATGAAAACTTCCCTACCTTTATCTAAATACTGTTCACATATATGCTTCAAAGTAAACAGTTGATCTACACATTCCCTACACACTCTAAAGCCTCCTTTCTCATCTGCAGTCCTGCTCTCTGCCTTACCTCTAATTCTTTCAATAATAACCCTACTGTACACTTTACCTGGTATACTCAGTAAACTTAAGAAAAAAACATAATACCACTACTGTTGCTAAAGAGGAAGACATACAAGAAAAATGGTTATATTCTCTAACTGCAATGTTTGTCACCTATTCACATGATACTTCTATTACAGATTCATCTAATACTGTACAGTAAAATATATTATAGAATTTTAATTTAACTACCTAGCACTGGCATACATTTTATTATTACAGTAAACATTGTGGTGAGGTAATGTAAAAATATGAATCTCAGCAACCATCAAATGTATTTCCCTAATGTAGGAACATTCTGTAATGAATTTACTGTATGTATAGTATTTCTAGTTATAGGCTCTAGTTTAGCACTTTTTTTCTGAATATACAGTGGAACCTTGACTTATGAGTTTAATCCGTTCCGTGACCTAGCTCGTAACTCAATTTGCTCGTAGTATATCAATTTTCCTAATTTAAATTAACTGAAAAGCCATTAATCCATTCCTGCACTCTGGAGACAAGACAAAATGCTTGAATATGACACTAATATCAACTGTACAGCTTATTTATCTATCAAAATTCATCTAATATGACATAATAAACAATATAATTAACACAGAAACATGATATACATGTATACTCTAGAATGAATAAAATAGGCCATAATATGGTGGCAGAGGCAGCGGCGGAAGCGTCCACCATTTCCTGTCTAACTTTGACTATAGTATCTTCCCATGCTCTTATTGTAAGAGAAAACGGAGTATTTGTGAGGCTAATTGCAGAAATATTATATATAAAAGCATAATAAATCATAATACACTACAGAATATAAAGAAATGTTAAACTGTTTATATAAAGTGTGTATGTACTTACACACTTGGAGCAGAGATGTTGAGGGTGGGGGTGTTGAGGGTGAGGGATGTTGAGGGCAGGGGAAGCTGAGGGTGGGGGAGGTTGAGGCTGTGGCATATGATGTCACTGGCCCTGTAAACCTCCAACAGCAACATTGTTTTGTTTGATCGCTGAACTTAACTGATACAATTTGTTTTGTTTAATCACTGAACATAACTGACACAGCTTTAGTATCTACATATCATAGATAATCAATCAATCAATCAAGTTTATTCTCTATAAGGATTACAATGCAGGGTTTACAGATTTTGAATATTGTGTGGTCTACATGTTTTAAAATACTAATTACAGAGGGGGCCACTAGGACACCTAGCATGGCTAGGCATTTCGGGCAGACTTAGATTAATTCTAAACTTTAGATTATTACAGATTAAGGTATTAAGGCTAAGCGACTACATTATAGTTTGTGAGTTTAGCAATGTGAATGCTTTTGTTTGGCACAATACATAGTGCTATATTGGAGTATCATGGGACAAACTTATGACTATTAGGATTCATTATTTTAATATTAAGATTCGTATTTCTGTTTTATAGTCAATGGTGAGTGAGTTTAAGTGTGAACCACCAGGTGGTTTACATGTAGTTAGTTGACAGAGTGTGTCAGGGAGATAAGATGTTTTCTAACTGTAGTTTTGAAAGTGATGTGTCTGCAGGTAGGGTGTTCCAGATTTTAGGCCCTTTGACATACATTGAATTTTGTAAAGTTTAGTTGGACACAGGGAATGTCATAGAGATGTTTGTGTCTGGTGTTTATGCCTGTTGGTATAGCCTGCTAAGTCCATGGAAATCGTAGTCTTTTTCTTCTCAGCACTGTCCTTTGCACTTATTTTCTTAGGACCCATGATTAGAAAAAAGAAATTTGGCCAAATGACTGTAAAAGAAATGCAAGCAAGCACGAAAGAACTGCTCCTACAGCGATGTAAACGTGTGTACTGCTTACTGGGTGTTTTGGCATCAGCTGTGCCAACCAGCGGCAGAATTCTGAATTACAGTGGACCCCCGCATAACGATGGCATCGCATAGCGATTTTTCCGCATAACGATTACTTTTATCGCAAAATTTTTGCCGCGCATACCGATTAAAAACCCGCATACCGATTTTCGTCCGAGACGCGTCCAATGTGCCCTCAGCCAGCCTCACATGTGCCGCTCCGTCCCATTGTTTACCAGCCAGCCTCCGCGGTAACATCCAAGCATACACTCGGAATATTTCGTATTATTACAGTATTTTCGGTGCTGTTTCTGAAAATAAGTGACCATGGCCCCACAAGAAAGCTTCTAGTGCCAACCCTGTGGTAAAAAGGGTGAGAATTAGTATGGAAATTAAGAAAGATTTGAAGGTTTGGGGCTAACCCTGAGAAGCCTATGCCAGTTGTGGAATCCATTGTGCCTACTTCAAAGATTAAGGAAATGGTGTGCAGAGTGGGTTGAACTGCAAACCTTTATAGATAAAATCACCCTGACACAGCTGTTGCAAGCCGTGCTTGTGACTATTTCAATGACAATGTTATGGCCCATTTTAGGAAAGTCTTGAAGAACGGAGGTACAGAGCTCTATGGACAGATTTGTTGTGCGACAGAGGTCCAGTTGACTCTCAAGCTGGTCCTAGTGGCATTAAAAGAAGAAGGGAAGTAACCCCAGAAAAGGACTTACTACCTCAAGTCCTAATGGAAGGGGATTCCCCTTCTAAACAGTAAGAAGATAATGCTCTCCCCCTCCTCCCATCCCATCAATCATCACCAGATCTTCAATAAAAGTAAGTGTCATTTAATTGTGCATGCCTTTTTCAGTTTGTGTGTATTAAAATTAACATTTCATGTGGTAAAAAAAAATTTTTTTCATACTTTTGGGCGTCTTGCACGGATTAATTTTATTTCCATTATTTCTTATGGGGAAAATTCATTCGCATAACGATTATTTCGCATAACGATGAGCCCTCTTGCACGGATTAAAATCGTTAACCGGGGGTCCACTGTATTATTACGTATGTATTATGCATTATTATTATTATTAATTTAGGGAACTGAAGCTCTATCGTTATTAAAATAATAATACGGTGGACCCTCATTTTTCGTAATTAATTCGTTCTAGAGAGTGTGACTATTATCAAAATTTACGATTTGTGAATCCATTTTCCCAATAAGAAATAATGTAAATCCAATTAATTCATTCCAGACACCCAGAAGTATAAAAACAAAAAAATTTTTTACCTTAAAGATAGATTTACATGCACAAAAGAATGAACATTCAACATGACAGTTACCTTTATTGAAGGCTGTTGTTGATGAATGGAAGACAGGGAGGAGGAGAGAGGGAAGAGAGGTTATTGTTTGGAAGGGGAATCCCCCTCCATAAGGACTCTAGGTCACTTCAGGAGTCACTTCCCTAGCTTAAATATAGATTTACATGCAGAAAAGAATGCCAAATAAATGTAAAGCACTAATAAAATGTAAAATGAACATTTAACATCACACTTACCTTTATTGAAGACTCTTGTTGGTGTATGGCAGACGGGGCAGAGGGAGGGGAGGTGAGTTTATTGTTGGAGAATATGACACTAATATCAACTCTACGGCTTATTTATCTAACAAAAATCAACTAATATGACATAATAAACAATATTAATAACATAGAAACATGGAATATACTCTAATGAATAAAATAAGTCATTAAGTATGTCACGGGAGGTGTTGTGTTGTTGTTGGGTGTACAAGGGCCATTGAGAGCATAAGCCATCCATAATTGTGATGAAGCAGCAGCTGAGGCGGCAGTGTTTTCTGTAGCCCTATATAACTCCAACAACATTAGAGGAGTTAGTAGAATCGCTGAATCACTGAAGAAGGCACCCTCTACCACCAACACAACCACTACCACCCTCTACAGCCATCATAACCAATACCACCCTCTACCACTATCAGTACCACCCTCTACCACTATCACAACTGTTACCATCCTCTACCACCATCACTACCACCCTCCACCACTATCACAACTGCTACCATCCTCTACCACCATCACTACCACCCTCTACCACTATCACAACTGCTACCACCCTCTACCACCATCATTACCACCTTCTACCACTATCACAACTGCTACCACTCTACCACCATGACTTTCATATTTTTCTACAAACTTTTTCTTAAATTATATGTGTTTCTCACATTCTATACCAAAGGGCTGGCACTAGAAGCTTTCTTTGGAGCCATGGTGGCTTATTTAGCAGTTGCAAGCACTAAAACGAATGGAATATTATGAAATGTATCGTATGAACTTGTGGGATCATCCTCACTCACTGATAAACAATGGCACACTGGCTGGGAATGAAGTGTGAGGCTGCTCAGGGCCGTGCATACGCTTCCGAGACAAACGACTATTTGCGAGTCAACTATTTTCGAGTCAATGTTTTGACGAAAAAAGTTACGATTTTCGAAAATTACGACTTTCGAGCCTTACGAAAAACGAGGGTCTACTGTAATGATAATGATAAAAATAATAATAACTAGGTAGTAGGTTGGTAGACAGCAACCGCCCAGGGCAGTACTACCGTCCTGCCAACTGAGTGTAAAACGGAAGCTTGTAATTGTTTTACATGATGGTAGAATTGCTGGTGTGGTCTTTTTATTCTGTTTCATACACATGCAAGATTTCAGGTATGTCTTGCTACTTCTACTTACACTTAGGTCACACGACACATACATGTACAAACATATATATACATACCCCTCTGGGTTTTCTTCTATTTTCTTTCTAGTTCTTGTCTATTTCCTCTTATCTCCATGGGGAAGTGGAAGAGAATTCTTCCCCCGTAAGCCATGCGTGTCGTAAGAGGCGACTAAAATGCCGGGAGCAAGGGGCAGGTAACCCCTTCTCCTGTATATATTATTTTTTATTTTTTTTTTTATTATCACACCGGCCGATTCCCACCAAGGCAGGGTGGCCCGAAAAAGAAAAACTTTCACCATCCCTGTATATATTACTAAATGTAAAAGGAGAAGCTTTCGTTTTTCCTTTTGGGCCACCCCGCCTCGGTGGGATACGGCCAGTGTGTTGAAAGAAAGCAAGAATTATTATAATAATAACGAACGCCGCCAACTCAGTGCACTGTTTACCTCACTGTGAGAGCAGTTCTCTCATGCTTTGTATACATTTTTGACAGTCATTTGGCCAAATTTCGTTTTTCTAAGCATGGGTCCTAAGAAAGTAAGTGTAAAGGACAATACTGAGAAGAAAAAGATGATGATTTCCATGGAATTAAAGCATAAAATCATAGATAAACAAGTGAAGTGCCCAGGTTCTGCATTGATGGGGAAGCAGGGGGAGCTGGCTCATAACTCAGAGCAAAAAAATGGACCCAGGGATGGCTCGTATCTGAAAAAATTCATGCGTTGGGACACTCGTAAGTCTAGGTTCCACTGTACTAATATTCCATGAATACCTAATATCAATTATAAGCTGAGAAGGACACTTTGTTTGTATTTGTAGCACAACAAAGTCAGTGTTTCCTTACACCACCCCAAAATGGACCACTTTCACTGTCCCCCCATCTTCTTCTTCGGTGGACACCTCTGGTGGAGAAATAAAAAATTATTTGGTTAATAGTGCAACTTTAGATGAACATAATTAAAAAAAGTAACTTTAAAATAACATAAATGTATTAAATTTTTTTATAATATAAATTTGTTTTTGCAATAGCAATTGTTATAAATCAAAGATTATGAAAAAGACAAAGAATTCTTAAGCTATTCTCTAATATTTACCCAAAATGCAACTGGTAAAAAGCTGCTATGCTTTTTAACTGAAATTGTATTATAAATTTTTTAGCAAAAATAAATTTAACAAGCTCTTTAGTCGCAAAAAAAAAAAAAAAATCTACACGTTATGCCTGCCTTTATCTATATTTAAAGCAGGAAGGTGCATGCAAAATCACCCCTCCAAATTCTGGCTACTATCTGCAAACTTTGCAGTTTTGAAAACACCTTAGCAAAATTCTTAATATATGCTGATAGGTTTTACATTTTGATAGGAGAGTGCAAAAACTGCCACCTGTTTGAATTATAGAACAAGTGTGAAAAAATTATTAACCTTGTGTCAATATGGGTAAATGAGAGAACTTTGAAGATGCAGTTTAAAAGAAAAAATTAACTGTGGCTTACTGAATCATCACTAACATGTGTAATATTTCCTTCAGAATCTGGGGAATGAAGACTGAAGATGTAAATTTCATCACAAGAGAAGCATCATCAAAGGTTTAAGACAGCATTAGTGGTTGCTAGTGTAGTAGAAATAAAAACAGCATTGCATATGTTATCATTTTATGGTAGTTTTTTCTTAAGCCCAAAATAGAGTGGATATCCCACATACTGTTTTTTAAATTGGAGCTCAACTTTCCTACCTATTACAAATATTGTGGTGATTTACCTAAGATGCTGTATGGTGGTTTAAAACCTGTAAATTATATCCAGCTTTTAGGACCTTACAGTACAGTACTGCACCATCTTAACCTTTTCACCGTCTCACATAGACCTAAGTTATTGATGCCAGTGTTGCTTATATAGATCAGTGTTATAAGAGCCCCTCAAATATACTGTGAGTGGCAGATTTTAGCTTAGACATGAATAGGTGTGTGGTGAGAGAAAAATCTTGCTCTACATGGTGCAAGATGGTGTTTGACCTTGTTTGGTTTAAACTAGCAAATTTGAGGTGTTTTCTAGGATAGTTTTTATGCCTTTATTGGCTGTTTTTGTTGATAGTATGGAAGATGTACTATCAAAGTAGAGATGATTTTGGTTGGGTTTAAGACCAAAAGTGGTTTGAAATAGAGGTCACAGTACCGAAAATGTTAGATTCATGATAATTTTCCTAAGTAAAGGTGAGGCTCCCCTTACCCATCCCTGGTCTGTTTTGTGGGTTTTTACTAGGTTTGCTTCAATTACTGGAATGCTCTGAACCATAACCAATCATTCTTTGTTAAATTTTATTAAAAAATACGGTAAAATTTTGATTGTGTGATGATGGATTCAGAATGGAGGGAAAGCCTGGGATGCAATTAATGAACAGAGGATAGGTTGTTTTAGTGGCTGGGATGCATACAGTGTTTATTTTCAACTGTTTTTAAATTGGAATCTGTTGAATTCTGAATAAAATTTGCTAAATTTACAGATTTCTGTGCACTTTATCAGGTAGTCCTGATAGCTGAAACAGCATTTCTTGTACTCAGTTGATAGAACAGCAAAATAACTGAGAATTTGGCCAAAATGAGTGGCTTAAAATAGGTCTCAAAGTGGGAGAAATTGCCAATACGTAAATAGCACCCGGACTGCCAATTTTGTGCCTGTGTAATATGATAAATTTTCCATCAAATTTTGTACTTTTGATATCATCACCATCAGAATTTTTTTTTTTAAATGCTGACATTGTGAACACTTAATTTTAACCCTTTCAGGGTCCAGAGGTCCAGTGTGCACCAGGATCCAAGAATTTTCAAAATTTTTTTTTTTTTTCTTATGAAATGGTGGAGAATCTTTTTTCTGGAGGTAATAAAACAAAAACTATGAAATTTGATGGAAAATCGATGAAATTATGCTCTCGCAAATTTTGATGTGTCAGCGATATTTACACATCAACAATTTTGCCGACCTTGACTCCCATTTTAAGCCAATTACATTATTCCAGTCAACCAAATTCTTAGCTATTTCACTAGTATTACTTCTATTCTATCGATTGAGCACAAGAAATCACCAACTGTTTCAACTATAAAATAAAGTGATCAGAAATTGGAAATTCGGCCAATTTAACGCAAATTTCAAAATAGTATTCCAGTTTCAAAATAGGGTCCAGAATAAACAATACAGGCATTCCTGGCACTAAACTAACATTTCCTCTGTTCATTAGTTACATTTTCAGGCTTTACAAATGAATTCCATTTTGATTTTTTATTCACATAATGAATTTTTATTTAAACCAAAAAAATAGAAGATTTACTGTCATGCAATATTGTAATAATTGTATAAATAATATCACCACATTTGTGAACGTATATTAGACCCACCAGCTGGTATGTATTAGACGTGTGAGGTCATTTGTTTACTCTTGAACATTGGCAAAAGTTTAACATTTCTGGTACTTTGAGCTCAGTTTCAAGCCATTTCTAGTATTAAAACCAATCAAAATCATCTCTATTTCTGTAATATATCTTCCATTCTATCAAATGAGACCAAGAAATCGCAAATACAACTATAAAAAAACATACGAAAAAATGCTGCAAAGTCACTGTTTTAATCAAAAATTACAGCCTCAGTTTTTCTCTCTCATTATGCACTGTGTGCTGCAGGATTTGTTTTATGTGGTGCACACATACCACATAGATGTATTCTCTCATATCTAGGCCCAAATTTACCGCTCACAGCTTATCAGAGTGAGTTGAGCTCATGGAGTAGATCTACGGTTTGGATCCTCAACTCAAAGCCGTAGAACTACAGCATGGACCCTGAAAAGGTTAAGGGTTGTGACAGTGAAAGGATTAATGATCTGTATAAAGGTACTATTCTGCTTAATACGTGCAGCCTTGAAAGTTTTCTGTAAAATAGGTGAGAAATCTAGTAATGGTGTTATTTTATTTGTCACTTGTTGCATAGTCCCTCAATACTCCTCCTCTTTCGAGAAAAAATGTACGAAGTGTACAATAACTCTTAAAATCCAGGCTTTTACCTGGGGGTGCGAGGACATTTGTGTACAGGCACAGTACTGTGTTTTCCAGTTACTATTAGACATAGTAAATATTTATTTAGTTATAAATTGGGGCTTGTGCTTGTTTGTTTCATGCGAAAATGAAGAAAGGTATTGAAGACAAAATAAAATAAAAAATGGAGAAGATTTATAAATCTAAACTCTTACTTAAAATAATTTTTTTTATACTAGTATGCTATAAGAAATTATCAACAAAATCAGTTGGTAATTTATCTCACAACCCTGAATCTGAGAGTTAATTATTCAGAAGAGGAAGTCAATGATCCTGTTTTCCCTTTTCTTCCTCTTTCCATTAACCAATAACTTACTACCTTTTATCTTTCACCCTCTCTCTAACCACAGGTTATAAGGAATACTCTTTCAAGCCATGAAAAGTACAATTTTATTACTTGGTACTACATACCTTTGATTACAAGAAATATCGCAATACTGTTATTTATCAAAGAGACAAAATTAATCTTTAGTCTGACACAAACTTGTTATACAATGCAGTAATGTCTTCAATATGATAATCCACAATTTTAATTTTAATCTGCTAAGATTGTTGCACAAAACTACTGTATTCATGATGCTGTTTTCAAACAGGAAATTAATGTACTACCAGTCAAATGGTTAAGCTCTTGACAGCTAGATGTGTGTTGAAAAGATGAACAGGTACTAACAGATTTAATAAAGAAAATAGGAAGACAGCGCAATACTACATATACAGTAGAATAAATTTATAAAATACCGAAACAGTTGGAAATACCAACATATGCAGTGTAATGTGATCCTATTGACAATCATTTGCGCAACAGTGGCTTTACAAGTCACAAACAGATATGTTTTTGTGACCGAAACATTGTCAATAAATTCACATTATACTGATATGTGTTTAATTCCAATGAAGTATTCATTAACAAAATGTATATTTTAAGATTGATTTAGAACACTTCGATATGTGAGCATAAGGTTTTTTATTTGGGGGGGATTTGATATCTCAGGAATAGAGAAAGTTGATTATGAAGGGATTCAGGGAAACAAGTTAGAGAGACTTGAGTTTTGGAGGTGGGAAGCTCAATGTCTACATTCAGAGTGATTGTTTGGAATGTTGCAATTTGAAGCATCATTTGAAGTGTGGTTGTCCTACACTTCAGGCTAGACATATACTGAATAAATGATGGTGAATGTGTCTCCTTCTTTGGGTAATCCTACCTTGGTGGGAAATGTCCCATAAGGTAAAAAAAATTGCAATACACAGCCAGAAACACAAAGACCAACTGTTTGATGAAGATAAGTTTCAAAGGAAAACCTGTGATTAACAGGAGAAGCTTTCCCTAATTACTCATGCATCCTCTGAGGTTAGAGTGTATAATAGGAATGAAAACCCATGTAAAGGGAAGAAAACACAGAGTGAGAGAGAGAATGAGAGAGGAAGAGAGAGAGAATGAGAATCAATGAAAATCAGGCAAATTAGGAAGCAGCAACTAAGCATAGGACATTTCAAGAGATTCATGTGCAAAGGTAGACGAAACACCAGGATATGAAAGTACAGGAGATGAATGGTGCCTAGCTGACTAGTGCCCTATAAAAGACCTCAGGTCAAGCCAACGTGAAATAAGGCTATCACAACACTGGGCATTTGAACTACAACAGAAAAAAAAAGCAGTGTATCAATTTCAATTGATAAAAGATATAGTACAGGTTATAAGCAAATTATTTTTTTTTATTTTAGATATGAATTAATGGTTTATAGAATATTGAATAAAATGAGGTTTGATTATGTAAAATATGTATTTTACCTACACATGCACACATTATGCAATTTTCATTTAATAAGCTACTTATAACTTTCTAAACCTGACTTTTGTAAGTAAAAAGATTTTATCCTTAACTAACTGCTCTCTCAGCAAAAATTTAAACTCAAAATCACTAGACATATAGTATGTACATATATTTCATATATGTACTATAACACCAACATCCATGTAAAGAACCTAAAAGCTTTACAGGTTACAGTTGTGTTCACTATAAACTTCTATCATCATTAAATATTTTCTTTCATTGATGAGAAGAACTACCAGCAATCATCTTTACTACTATGATTTGATTTCAGTCACTCAATTATTTGTTGAAATATGTTAAATATTTTTCTTACACTTTCTACTTTTGTTATCACATTGCATTTTAATAAAGACTCTAAAAACTGCAGTGGAAGAATAAAAAATGAATGGAATGCAAATTAAAATAGAGAACAGTATGCACAATTAGTACACATAATGAGAAACGGCCGACGTGTTAAAAAAAAAAATAAGAGTAGTATGTAGTATAAATATTATTACACTACTCATATCCAGTGAAAAGTTCACATTATGTACTTTAAAACTGTACGAACAAAAATGCTACTTAACTAATTCATATGCACTTATTTATTATAGAAATAATAAATGCCAAGTTAAATATCTTGAAAACAAAAAAACATTTTTTAAATATGTAAAGAAAATCTCAGAAGATGGGAGATGCATTATTAACAAATTATTTGAAGCGATATTGTTTCTATAAAGATGTTAGAGCTACTGACAACACTGTTTCCTTGCTATTAAAAAGCATTAAAACAAAAGATACTACGAGTAAGAATTGCCTAAATGCAGGTAAGGGTAAGTTATTACTCTGGTATTGCTGCAGGAGTACTAAGACTGAGCACTTTACAATGCAGGTAAGGGTAAGTTATTACTCTGGTATTGCTGCAGGAGTACTAAGAATGAGCACTTTACAATGCAGGTAAGGGTAAGTTATTACTCTGGTACTGCTGCAGTAGTACCAAGCATGAGCACTTTACAATTTACTCTGGTACTGTTGTAGTAGTACTAAGAATGAGCACTTACAATGCAGGTAAGGGTAAGTTATTACTCTGGTACTGCTGCAGTAGTACCAAGAATGAGCACTTGACAACTTTGTTAGCTTAAGTAATTCATACTATACCTTGGTTCCAAGAAGTTGCTCCCAAAACCTGCATTAAGAATTGAACAAAATTAAATAAACAAGAAAATAATTAAAAATAAGAAAAGAAGGCCAGCACCAGAAATTAATACTGTATATTACGAAGTGAAGGACACACAATGGGACTTCCACATCATTTCTTATATATGGATATAACTTTCAGGCACTTAATGGCTAAATAAATACAGCACTGTGTGTATGTGCATGTATGCGTGTGCGTGCATCCATGCACATGCATACACACACATGCTATATACATAAGTACATATATATGTACAAATATATGTAGTGCTTTATATCTATGTGTATAGCCAGAACTTGTAGGTTTTTCAGTAACAACTGTTTTGCCAAACAAGGTGAGAGTTCATTAATTTTTGCTGTAACTCCTGAATACTTATAATCAGAGCATCACATAATTAAACTGAGAGGAATGACTGATCTGTCAGTGTTATTTTGTGGTTGCTAGAGTAAGAGAGAGAGAATGAGTTAGAGTGGTGTCAATGTGTAAGAGTGCACTGAAACTGAGTAAACTAAAAAGAGGACAGTTAATGGGAGGAGAAACTTTAGAAAGAATGGCAGGCTATAATAAGAGCTGGTAATGAGGAAGAGGAGGAGACTGAGAAGGTGAGGTGTGTATTTAAGAACACAGTGGTTACACTCATTACAGAAGTTTACTGTTACAGGAGAGTGGGCATAGGTGGGAAGAAAAATGATTAGTAGAGTGATGTGAAAAATGGAAGTCATAACAGAGCAAAAGTGAGCCTATGAAAGGTTTCTTGAATGTAAACATGATATACAGGAAGCAGATTATATGAAGAGAAAAAGAGGTGTTCAAGTAGTGATGAGGGAGTGCAAAAGGAAAGCAAATGAGAGAATAGATAAGCTTTTATCAGCATATTTTGCTGACAATACGAAACTTTTGGAAGGAACTTAGACTTGGCAGTTACAAACGAAAGAAATGAGATGTTTGATGGAAAGAGAGAATATTTTAAGTTGTTAAATGTTGAAGAAGAAAGGGAGGGAGTGATTTCATGAGTGGAACAGGAAGGAAGAGGATCTGTTGTAAGTAGGGAAGAGCCAGAGGTGAATGTGTGGAAAGTGTATGATGATGAAAGAAGTAAAACAGTTGGGACAGATTGGATTTATATTCAAATGATAAATACAAGTTGTGGGATATACTGTAGAGCTTAAATGATAAATGCAGGTTCAGGGGATATACTTTAATGTTGAAATGATGAAAGCAGGTTGAGAGATATACTGTAGTGTTGAAATGGCTGCTGTGTTTGTTTACAATATGCATAAAAGAAAGGAAGTACATAAAGACTGACAGAAAGCAAACACAGCTGATTAATACAAGGGGACAAGGAAATACAAATCTTGAGCATACTAGGACAAGGAAAATACATCTCTTGAGCATACTAGGTAAATTGTACAGTAGAATTACAGTATTACTAAAAAACTAGGGAAATAAACAGAGGTAGGGTGAGATGGTTTTGTCATTTAGAAAAGGGTGGAGGAAAACAGACTGACTTAAGAGTATATAGGGAAAGTTCCAGGAAGTGTTGGAGGGTGTTAAGGAGGTTTTAAGCAGTAGGGGCCTGAGCATTCAGCAGGCATGTGAGTATACTAGATTGGAATGAGTGGAGAAAAGTGGTTTTTAGGATTTAACATCTTACTGAAATATAAGCAAGGTACAGCATGCAATATTCATAGAGGAATTTGAGAAAACGGGTTTGCCAGGTTTAAGTTCTGGAGGTGAGAATACAGTAGTAAAGTTTTTATATTCTAAATGATGGCTGGGGATATTAGGTGAGAGGATCATTTGAACTGTGATGTCCATGTATCTGACAAGACAGCTATTGGATGAATGTTGGTGAACTTCAGCTTATTTCAAAGCCCAGCCCTATCTAAGGAATATTACCACTGCTTAGGCTGCAAACCACAACAGTTGACTAACACCTAAGTGAACAGTGGTAACCAATGTAAGAACACTTGCCTAACCAAAGTAAGAACAGCTGTCTAACCTAGGATTCAAACCTTAGTCTCTTCAGCTATGACAGAACACAAACTACTGAGCTACAGGTCACTATTCACTGATGGTTACATAATATTAAAGTTAGGCAGATGTTTGATAGAAGTAGGAATAAGCTGTATTATACCAAATCATTAGAAAATTCTAGCAAGGATAGAACATTAAGTAGGCTAATTTTGGTGTAACATAAAAAACTACAGAGCATGTTAATTCTCATGAAAATATCATATCTTATCAATCCAGAAAAGAAAAATCTCATAATTTATATTTACAAAAATTCAGCTAGTGTGACCACTAGTTGAAAAACACGACATCAAATGACTAAAATATTCAAGGAATGGACAAGTCTTGAAATCATGATAAGTTGAATTCTAGATTGTGAGTTCTAAGCTTCTTTTTTATTTTATATTTTATTAACACATCGGCTGTTTCCCACCAAGGCAGGGTGGCCCAAAAAAGAAAAACTTCCATAATTATTTACTCCATCTATGTCTCTCCTGAGGGACACTTACACTACAGTTATAAAACTGCAACATTAACACCCCAAAAAAGAAAAACTTCCATAATTATTTACTCCATCTATGTCTCTCCTGAGGGACACTTACACTACAGTTATAAAACTGCAACATTAACACCCTTCTTCAAAGTGCCGGCACTGTACTTCGCATCTCCAGGAATCAAGTCTGGCTTACCGGTTTTCCTGAATCCTTTCATAAATGTTACCTTGCTTTCACTCTAACAGCATGTCAAGTCCTAAAAACTATTTTTCGCCATTTGCTCCTATCTAACATGCTCATGCACTCTTGCTGGAAGTCCAAGCCCCTCACACAAAAAACCTCCTTCACCCCCTACCTTCAACCTTTCCTCTCAAAGTCATTCTATTTCGTTCCATCCTCTCTACATGTCCAAACCATCTCAATAACCCCTCCTCAGCCCTCTGGATAATAGTTTTGGTAATCCTGCACCTCCTTCTAATCTCCAAACCATGGATTCTCTGCATTATATTCACACCACACATTGCCCTTAGATATGACATCTCCACTGCCTCCAGCCTTCTCCTTGTTGCAACATTCACCACCATGGTATAACTATACTCTCATACATTCCTTTCTTTGCTTTTATGGATAAACTTCTGTCTCCACAGACTCTTCAGTGCACCACTCACCTTTTTCCCTCATCAATTCTATGATTCACCTCATCTTTCATAGACCCATCTGCTGACACGTCCACTCCTAAATATCTGAATACATTCACCTCTTCCATACTCTCTCTCCCTCCAATCAGATATCCAATCATCCATTACCTAATCTTTTTGTTATCCTCATCACCTTACTCGTTCCTATATTCACTTTTAATTTCCTTCTTTTACATACCTACCGAGCTCATCAACCAACCTCTGCAACTTCTCTTTAGAATCTCCCAAAAGCACAGTGTCATCAGCAAAGAGCAATTGTGACAACTCCCACTTTGTGTTTGATTCTTTATCTTTCAACCCCACACCTCTTGCCAACACTCGAGCAATCACTTCTCTTACAACTCCATCTATAAATATATTGAACAACCATGGTGACATTACATATCTGTCTAAGGCTTACTTTTACTGGGAAATAATCTCCCTCTTGCCTACATGCTCTAACCTGAGCCTCACTGTCCTCGTAAAGACTCTTCACTGCTTTCAATAACCTACCTCCTATTCCATACATTTGGCTTCTTTATTCCTTGAAAAAATATACATAAAATATATAGTCAAGCCCCTGTATTTGCAGTATCTTCATTCGTTAACTTTGGTTTTTCTGGTCATACAGCTACTGAATGAGTGATGATGGATGTATTATCTTTTTTTTTTTTTTTCACCCTACCTAGGTAGTAGGCAGCAAGGGTGTTAAAAAATCTAACTGAAGTACTAAATTCCTTGCAGGACACCAGCATGGATTCAGAAGTGGAAGGATGTGTCTTACAAAGCTTATAGACACACACAATAAATTTACAGAGGTCAAACAGAAAAGAAAGGGATGGGTGGCCTATATATTTCTAGATTGTAAGAACACTTCTAATTTAATAAATCTGGGCAGCAAGCTAGGTAAATGAATAAATATTAGTGTGGATGAGGGAATACTTGACCAATATTAACCCTTAAACGGTCCAAACGTATATAAAGGTCCACGCGTGTAGCGCCCCAAATGTATATATACGTTTTCTTTGTCATTCATTCAACATTGCCACATTAAGCCTGAGTCACCTAGACATGAGAGAATGGGTGTGCGCACTCACTGTGTGTCATATTAAAATAATTGGGGATGCCTGGGTACCATATGCTCTTTTTTCCTTTTAAAAGAAAAGATTGTTTTTTTTCCTCAAAAAAGTTGGGGCGCTACGCGAGTGAACGTATATATACGTTTGGACCGTTTAAGGGTTAAACAAAGTTACTATAAAAAAATGAAGCCTCAACATGGAAGTATAACTAATGAAGTTGTACAAGAATCAGTGTTGTGTCGCATATTGTTTCTAGTGCATAGTAATGACTTGATTGCAGGAATTGCCTCCTCTAGTGCATAGTAATGACTTGACTGCAGGAACTGCCTCATATGTGTCCAATTGCTGAGTAGGAGTTGCTGAGGTGTTATGGACAGTTAGAGAGAAGGATGGAGCAAAATAGGATGATGATGAAGAGGGTGTATAAATCTAGGGTAGAAGGAAAGGTACCAGTGATCCCAGGAAGAGTTGGAGAAAGGGGTTAAGGTAGTTTTGAGCGCTAGGGGTTTGAGCATTCAGCAGGCTTCTGTGTGTTTGATTGGAGTGAGTGGAGACAAATGAGCTTTTATGGATTCATTAGGGATTTGCCGGTACTTCCGGCCCGGGTCTTCTCCAGATGGTGACCCGGCTTTTATGGAGTGACTTGATGTTGGAGTGTGAGTAAGGTAACATTTATGAAGAAATTCAGGGAAACTGGTTAGCTGGACTTGAGTCCCAGAGGTGTA